GGGGGCAGTCCCCTGCCTTGCCCATGTTTGGCGAGCCCGGAGGACCTCCGTGCCATGCACCAGCCGGTTTGCAGGCTGATCTTTTCTTCCCCCTCCTCTCCCCCCCCACCTCCTCCCTTCTCCCCCGATCCCTTTCGGAAAACCAGGCAGATGAAAAGTCTACCCGGTCTGGGGTTTTCCTACTTGGGTGAGTATTCTTCATCTTGCTGGCTTCAGCTGCGGCTCTTATTCCGTGCATGGCTTGAGTTAGGAATGGGATGAGGAAGCCGGTTTTCTCCCCAAAGAGCCTCTTTCTTTTGGGTACGAAGAATTCGTTCGGAGAGGGTGTGTGGGGGGGGGGGGGGGGGTGTTTCCTGAGGCCAAAAATAAAGTTCCAAAGCAATTTTGTTTTTCTTCTGTTTTTTTTTTTCCCCTCCTTGTCTTGCTAACATTATTGGTGGGATTGGGCCTGTGCTTAAAAACAGCATCTCGGCCTTTTCCAAGAGCTCATTTGTGTAAACAGTTCAGTAGGCATAATTGGGTAGAAAGGGAAGGGGGGGGGTCCTGCCCCACAGTTACCTCTAATGCTCTGCCGGTTTTGTGATCTTCAGAAGTTCCTGGGGATGATGTGGGATGGGGAGGGGGTGTGTGTGAGCTATGGTTAATTCAGAGACAACCATGACTTGGGACGATTGAGAACCATCTGCGTAGAGGGTTAATTCGGGACTTTCTCAGCCTCCCTAACAGCGGTCCCTGGACTCTTTGAGAGCGGTACCTGGATCCTGCTCGTTCACCCCCAAAGGGTTGCCTTGCCCTGGACTTCCGTTGTCCCAGATTAGAAGGAGATTAGTATTTCAGTCCGTAAAGCAGGGGTCATTTGAGATGACGATTGGCTTAGCCCCAGTGACTTCCTGTAGGAAGAGAGATGCTGCAGGCCCCCTCCCTCTCGACACCTAGGTGTGATGCTGCACCACAGGCACATTGGCTGCTGGGCAAGGGGAAGGGGGGGGGGGCAGACGGTGCAGTTGTGTTCAGAGCAGCTAAATCTCTCTCCCCGCCCCCCTCAAGACGCGGCATGTGCGAAGGCACTCAAAGATAGCCTGAACTCAATGATGTAAATGTTTTGGTGGGGACGTTTTGGACTCCCAGTTCCATCATGCAGCTCAAAAGGCTGGGAAAGATGGAACTCCCCCTTTTTGCGGGAGGGGGGAGCGGTTAGTGTCGAGGAAGGGAGTGAGTGACGTTTGGGCCAGCCTTCTTTTAACGACCCGCAGAGCTTCGACTTCCAACAATCCATGAGCAACTGTGTAGAGCAAGGATGGGCAGCTATGGCAATTTTACGACCTGTGGACTTCAACTCCCAGAATTCACCAGCGCGGGAATTGGAAGTCCATACAACTTTTTTTTTAAGTTGCCAAGGTTGGGGAAAAACAAACTTATTTAAAAACTCAGTTTTTAGGTAGTTGGTTCTCAGAAGGGTCTTTCTCTATGGCTGTAGAACGTGCATCTGAATCGGGGGTGAAATCTACTCACCTTCCTTACCGGTTCGGAAGTGCATGCGCCACGCACAGACGCAGAGCGTACAAAACACATTACTTCCTGGTTAAAAGCAGGAAGTAACAACAATCTGGCGGGTGGGCGGAGCCTTGTGCCGCGATGGCTACCAGTTCTCTGAACCACCTGCCACAATCGCTACCGGATCGGGCGATCCGGTCTGAACCGGGAACATTTCACCCCAGATCTGAATGTCCTTTGCAATTAAAGAAGGTAATTTATAGATTGTGGTGGTTGTGTTTTGAAACTCACGGGTCTCCAACCTTGGCAACTTTAAGACTTGTGGACTTCAACTCCCAGAGTTCCTCAGCCAGCTTTGCTGACCCACAAGTCTTAAAGTTGCCAAGGTTGGAGACCCCTGGTGTATATGATATCTACTGTTTAACCAGCTCATGGAAATTGGACTGCGGCACTATTTTAGCCAAAGACGGACAAGTATTCTATTTTTCAGGGAATCGCTCTGCTACGATCATGTCCTCCACGCATTGATATCGGACTTTTTTTCACTCATCTCTCTGAAATTCCTCCTGAGCATCATTTTATAGCTGGTTCAGGGCCTATTTTGGTGCTACATCAGAAACTTTTCATTTTTTGGAAAAGATACGCCCGTTGTAGGACAGAGATAGTTGAAAGTAGATAGAGCAGAACATAAAAGTTGGAGACAGCAAAAGAAATTGGTGATATTTCAAGTGCAGGTAGTCCTCGACTTATAACCATTCGTTTAGTGACCGTTCGAAGTTACAAGGGCAGAGAAAAAAGTGACTTTTTTTTGCACTTAAGACCATCGCGGCATCCTCATGGGCACGTGATCAAAATTTGGATGTTTGGCCACTGACTCGTGTTTCTGACCGTTGTGGTGTCCCAGGGGGTCACCTGATTCCCTTTTGCGACTTTCTGACAAAGTCAATGGGGGAAGTCAGATACACTTAACAACCGTGTTACCAACTTAATACTCGCAGCGGTTCACTTAACGGTGGCAAGAAAAGTTGTACCTTTGAGGTAAACTTTCACTTCTGAGGTAAAATGAGGTAAACTTCACTTAACAACTGTCTCGCTTGGCAACAGAAATTTTGGGCCCCTTCAATTATGGTCGTAAGTCGAGGGCTACCAGTAGTTAGAATCCCCCCCTCCCATCCCTTTCAGTTTGATTGTTACAAGTGAGGTGGCTTGAAGAGCAGATTCAGTGTCTATACTTCATCCCTTTCTAATTAGATCCAGGGTGGATAAAAATCAATGATTTTTTTAAAAAAAATAAAAAATAAATAGATTTTTTTTTATTTAAATCGGATTTTTTTGATTTTTATCGGATTTATTTTAATAAAAAACTTTTGGGGTAAAAATCTATCGTAAGATAGTTTTCTATTTAAGATACATAAATAATTTAGTTTATTCAGCATGAAACGGAGCTGAGTTATGTAGCAGGAGGCTGTATATTCTGCAACACTGGGACTATCGGTGAGTCAACGGTGGGTCAAAGCAGTAGCAGAGATGACAGTTGCTCTTTAAAAATTATGATTTAAATTGAGTTGATTTAAATCAAGCCTTTTTACTAGTGATTTAAATCATGATTTAAATTGTGATTTAAATCAACTCGATTTAAATTAAATCCACCCTGGTTAGATCTATGGAACCTAGTGAGCCCCAGAGTCCATTTTACAAAATCCTGCTAGGATTTCTGGGTACTAAAATCTCAGAGCCTTTAGAGACACACGGTCTGTCCTGTAAATGGCATTGTGGAAGTACAACCCAACTTCAGGTGGAGAGAATCAGAATAGAGCTGGAAGCCACCTTGGAGGTCTTCTAGTCCAGCCCCCTACTCAAGCAGGGAACTCTATACCAGTGATTGCTAACCTTTTCCGGACCGAGTGCCCAAAGCGCACACGTGCACCAGAACCCCCCAAATGCAATGTGCTCGCGGCCTCCCACATGTGCCCCACCCCCAGTACATACATGCATGCCTCCCCCCACATGCGCCTCACTCCCAGTACATACACGCACGTCCCCCCCCGCACATGTGCTCTACCCCCACATGCATCCTGCCCCCCCCACCGCACACCCCCGCCCTCTGTGCATACGTGGCAGATACCTGAAGACCAGTTGGCCGGCGGGAGGCACGCACGCATGCGCACCAAAGCTGAACTGGGGCAACGGCTCGCATGCCATCAGATAGGGCGCTGCGTGGCATCTCTGGCACGCATGCCATACATTCACCATCACGGCCCTGTACCATTTCAGATAAGTGACTGTGCAATCTCTTCTTAAAAGCTCCCAGTGATGAAGCACCCACAGCTACTGAAATAAATTTCTGTTCCTCTGGTGAATTGTCCTCACTGTTAGGAAGTTTCTTCTCAATTCCAGGTTGTTTCTCTCCTTGATTAGTTTCCATCCATTGTTTCTTGTGTTGCCTTCTGGTGCTTTGGAAAAGAAGTTGACCCCCTCCTCTTTGTGGCAGCTCTTCAAAAACTAGAATCATGTTTCTCTCTCTCTCTTGTAAAATGGGGCAAAACTCACTTAATGACTGCCTTGCGTAGCAACAGAAATTTTGGGGCCCAGTTGTCATAAATTGAGGACTACCTATATTTCACAGCATTCAAAGTGGGAGTTATATGACTTTCCTTCTTTGAGTGGAGGGAAGGCTAGTCTAAGTACTTCTGGGACTGGTTTTTCATTTTACCTCTACTGTTTCTATATCGGTTTACGATTTCAACTGAGCTCATATCTTTCATCTTGTTTTATACGTGTTCTTCCTGATCTGTTTATTACTTTCCTCAAGTGATAATGTTTCTGAAGACTTTGTCCTTGGGTACACATTTTGACTGCACTTTTTCATAATACAAATACAAATAATTATAATTATAATATACTTGGTTGATACCTAGGACGCTGGCAGCAACTCGTATCAGCCATTAGCATCAGTCAATGGTATTTATGACACATTTTTAAATGATTAGTTGACTGAGTTACATGTTTAATGAATAAAAGAGATAATAATAATAAAGTAACGGTGATACCCATTGTCATCGGGGCACTTGGTACCATGTCCAAGAATTTTACGAAACACATCAAGAAATTGCAGTTTCCTGCAATAACAAAACTGCAAAAAACTGTGCTACTCGGAACATCGTACATTTTAAGAAGGTACTTGGTTGATACCTAGGACGCTGGCAGCAACCCATATCAACCATTGGCACCACTCAATGGTATTTGTGATGCATTTTTGAATGTTCAGTTGACTTGAGTTTCATGTTTACTGAATAAAGTATACAATAATATTTTTTTACATTGTCTGAAAAAAATACCCTTTTTAATACGCCTTGGGAGGGGTGCGTCTGTGGTAAACCAACATAAAAATCTGGGTTTCAGCTATTCCTGCAGACGCTTCTCACCTTGTACGGTGCACCTCAGCCTTTCACCCTGCGCTGCTGTGTCCCTTTTGATGACGCTTCTCTCGTTCTCCCTCTCTGCAGATAGTAAAGGGATCCTTATGCAGCAACACGTGAAATGAACAAAGCTCCACAGCCCTCAGGAGGAACCCCATCAGCCCCACACCCCTCCCCTTCTCCTGGACTTCCACAGGTAAGGATTCCCCTGCCCAGGCCACCTTCTGCCCTGGGTTACTTCCTATCTACTTTTCCCCCCTGGATATGCTCACATTTGGCTGCTCTACCTTCCCTGGTGGCTTGAGAGGCAGATCCTCTAGCAGAGGTGGGGCACGATGACCCTTTTTACGACTCGTGGACTTCCAACTCCCAGAATTCCCTGAGCCAGCATGGAAGTCCTCAAAGGGCCAGAGTTCCCCAGCCCTGCTCAGCTACTCCAAAATCCCCCTCCCCTCCCCCACCGAAATGAGCTTTTCGGTTGTTTGCTTGCTTTTGTAAAAGGAAGGTTTGTCAGGTTGGCCGATGCCATTTTAATTCCATTTCTCCAATGCGTCTTGTAAGTGCTATTCTATTCCTCAAACGCTGCCTCAGGTGTGGTTGGAGGTTGGGGCAGCTGCCGGGAAGCTGCTAACCTGCTTCTTCTCTTCTCCCTTCTCCTAGCAGTCAGCATTTCCTCCTGGCCAGGCGGCACCTGTGGTTTTTAACCCAGCGCAAGCTACCCAAATGAATACGCCTTCCCAGCCTCGACCGGTAAGAAGGTGGCGAACAAACCGCTGGGGCTGCGGCTCTCTCGGAGCTGCAGGACTCTCTTGAGGTGGCGGCCGAGCCTTCTCTGATGTGCTGCCAAACAGGTTCTTCGGTTTGGCTCGGGGGGGAGGGGGGGCGGGCTGGCAGGGCACAAGCAGCCCTGCAGGCTGACTCGGTCTGCAGGCGTCACTGTCTCAGGACTGCATCTGCGGCCGTGTGCCCAGGTGGGGATGAGGGTTGGGGAATGAACACGGAACGGAGCCAGCTGCGAGAGATGCTTAGGTAGGATTGGCATGGAAAGTGGCGGAGAGGAGGCAAGGAGGGCGGCTCAGCTGCCCTGAGGAGTGAGGAATTTGGGGAGGAGGAGGGAGCAGGGAGTAGACAGAGGTGCCTGTAACTGTCAGTGATGCTCTCCTCTTGTCTCCTTTCCCTGGGCTCTTTCTCGTCTTAGTTTCCAGCAGGGCCGCGTTCTTTACATCAGCAGGTACTAACCTTCCTCCGCTTGCCTCACTGCATGCTGGATGCCATCCATAGGGGGAGGGGGCCCTTCGGATCAAGGGGTCGTGCTTGGACACTGCAGGGCAACTGACCGCAGGGCTGGAAAGGGGCCTGAGGTGACGAGGGTGAAGCCTCCAGGTTAAGACTCTCTGCGTCCCCTGTGAGCTCTCCTGTCTTACAGGACGCTTTTTCCCTTCGCCTCCCCGTTTTTTAGGTAATAATACAGGTAGTCCTCGACTTAACGACCACAATTGAGCCCCTGATTTCCATCACTGAGCACAACAGTTGTTTGGTGAGCCTTGCCCTGTTTTACGACCTTTCTGGTCACAGTTCTTAAGTGAATTGCAGCAGCTGTTGAGTTACTAATACGGTTTCTAAATGAATCTGGCTTCCTTGTTGACTTTTTTTTTTTTTTTTAAATTTTGATTTATATGCCGCCCTTCTCCAGAGACTCAGGGCAGCTTACAATGCGTTAAGCAATAGCCTTCATTCTTTTGTATATTTATACAAAGTCAGCTTATTGCCCCCATAATCTGGGTCCTCATTTCACCTACCTTAGAAAGGATGGAAGGCTGAGTCAACCTTGAGCCTGGTGAGATTTGAACTTGCAGTAATTGCAGGCAGCAGATGTAAGTGGATATTAATTAGTCTGCTGAGCCACCAGAGCTCTTTCGACTTTGTCGAAAGGCTGCAAAAGCCCGGGATGCTGCAACTGTCATAAATAGGAGCCAGTCACCAAGCGTCCGAATTTTGATCACGTAACGTAGGGGATGCTGCAGCGGTCATAAGGATGAAAACCGGCCATTTTTTTTTACAAATGGCTTGTAATTCAAGGACTACCTGTACTATTTATTGATTGATTGATTTATTTTCATCCTGGGTTGGATTACGATGACTATTTTGTGGATCACCCAAGCTTTTTTTGTTTTTGTTTTTAGGCCTGCAGGGATGAGAGTTTGTTGGGGTGGGGAGTCAAAAGAACCCAAGAGAACCTGTAGCGTGGGGGCAGGGATGCGAGGGTCATCTTTCCTCTTGAGTTTACGACCGACAGGTTGTGGGTTAGGGCCAGTTTTGACTGCAGTGTCCATCGCCCAGAAGCTTCCCCACTTCCCTTGTGACTTGCATGGCCTCTTGACTCATGAAAGTGCTTCTCTGTCACTGTTTCTCATTTTTGCTCCACTCCTGCTGTCTGGCTTCCGTTTGGTGGTCCTTCTTCTTCTTCTCCTCCTCCTCCTTCCTCCCTTCCCCTCGAATACACTTCCCGGCCTTTCCCAGGGCTTGGTCACAAGATCCTTCTCTTCTCTTTCACCCCTGTCGTTCCCTTTCGGTGTGTTGCACGTCTTCCAGAGCTCCAGACTCTGTTCTCCGTCTCTTACGTTTCTTGGCAGACTGCCTGCAGACTCCGGCAAAGGGCTGTGTCCTCCATTGTCCCCCAATAGTCACCCCTACATTCCCCCTCCCCCCTTGGCTATGTGGGGGGTGGGCATGGTGGGCTCTGCCATTCCCATCATATCCGGTTGTCAGAGAACTTGCTTGATTGGGAACGAAGGTCGAGGGAACGACAGGAGGTTTCACCCTGTCGCTTTGGGTTGGGACTTGGGAATTGAGCTGGTGTTAACCCAGGCAAGATCTCGGCAGCGGGATTGGAGACGCGGTTCCCATGTGATTGCGGTAACATGCTCTCCTCAATCTGGCCAGCAGCTGTTTGTTTTTATTATTATTTTAAAAACCCTCTATTTATTTAAAAATTGCCTAATGCTTCCTTTGGCATTCCTTAAAAAAAAAAAAAAACTGCCAGCTATGAATCTCGGTGGAGTTTGCCCTCCTTCCTGCTGGTTTATCTAAGCGTTCAACCCCACACATATTGTTATCTCAAACATCTCCAACATGGTGGAATGAATAGGATTGTTATCTTCACGGCCTGGATTGGGTGGTCTGTTTTGTCTGAGCATAAGTGCCACTTCTGGAGCTGGCTTTCCCTTTTGGGTGCAGTTTTGACACGCAGGAATAACTAGAAGGAAGCCTTGATCATCTGCGGGAAGCTTCTGAGTCAGATCAAAGCTGACTTTCATGCTGGTCCATCCAGTCCCCCGGGAAGAGATTGGGATATGAACGAGGAAATCCGGTTCATATATTATTACTACAGCCATCTCAGTGAGTGATCTTAGGAAGCCACAGTCTCTTAAGCATCTGCCACACAGGGCAGATGATCCCGGCCTAAATCTAATGTTAACCGCCAATTGGGTGAAAATTGGGTGCTTTGTGCCTCTGCTTTCAAGAGTCTCTCTTCCCCCAGTCTGGGCATCTCTCCACGCGTGTTGGATGAAAGATCAGTCTGACTCTAAGGATTCTGGGAGTTGAAGTCTTCACACATCATCAGAGGGACGGGAACTAAAAGGAGGAGGGCTAACGACAAGGTCGTCCTCGACTTGCAACAGTTCGTTTAGTGACCGTTCGAAGTTACAAACGGCATCGGAAACAAGTGCTTGTTTTTCACGCCACAGTTGCAAGCATCCTCAGAGTCACACGATTGACATGTGGATATGTTTGAACAGTGGTTCGTATTTATGACAGTGGCAGTGTTGTCCCGGGGGTCATGGGATCCCCTTTTGCGACCTCCTGACAAGCCACATCAATGCGGAGGCCAGATTCACTTAACAACCATGTTACTAACTTAATAATTGCAGCGATTCACTTAACCAACATGGCAAGAAAAGTCAGTTAAATTGGGGCAAAACACATTTAAGAAATTTCTCGCTTACCAACAGAAATCTTGGGCTCTGTTATGGTCGTAAGTCGAAGACTACCTGCATTTCATCTCGCTTCTGTCCCTCCTTTCAGTTTTGGGGGAAATGATCAGTTATCAACTTCTAATAGTCATCGCCCTCCTTAACGTGGGATCGTAATGCCCATTGTTGCTGTTCACAGCAACAATGTCCCCATTGGGTTGGCCATTAGACATGGCCCCTCCACGCTCAAAATCCTACAGAATCCCACAGCAAATTTGCCAGGGCATTTGGGAAGGGTAAGAAGGCAGGATGACGTCCACCACAACTCTGTGTCACTGGCCTAGTGAGTACTTGAGGTTCGGGGCAGAATTACAATACAGAAGGTTGCACATGAGACCCATGGCAAGGGGCTTTATTTATTTATTTATTTATTTATTTATTAGTTCGATTTATATATGCCGCCCTTCTCCGGAGACTCAGGGCGGCTTACAATGCGTTAAGCAATAGCCTTCATACTTTTGTATATACCTGCTTAGTAGGGCTTTTTGGCCCCCCCCGAGCGGTGTTCTATTTTATACAAAGTCAGCTTATTGCCCCCACAAACCGGGTCCTCATTTTACCTACCTCGAAAGGATGGAAGGCTGAGTCAACCTTGAGCCTGGTGAGAATTGAACTCGCAGTAATTGCAGGCAGCTGGCAGCTAAGTACTACTTTAACAGCAGCAATTTAGTCCACTGCGCCACCAAGGCTCTTGAAAAGAGCACAGACCTTGTTAGAGCTATAAGTGTTGATTGAGCACTGATGACTGGATTGTCATAGACCATCCTCTACTGCAGTCTTGACCTTGGAGTTCAGATTGTCTCCTTGCTTCTTGGGATCGGCTTAAGAGCAGGGTTTTGCAACCTTAGTGACTTTAAGACAGGTGGACTTCAACTCCCAGAATTCCCCCGCCAGCATGGCATAGCTGGCGGTGGAATTCTGGGAGTTGAAGCCCACCTGTCTTAAAGTCACCAAGGTTGCAAACCTGGCTTGGAGCTTTCCCCTTGGCTAATTCCCGAGGCGGCTGTGATCTGCTTTTGTGAACTCTTGTGTCGTTCTGTAGACATTCTCCCATCGCTTTGCAAAAGTCAGCGGGTGGCAGTTCCATAGATGCTCTTTTAGAGTCCTAAGGCCGATTCTTCCTCATACGCAGATATTTCCCCTTGGCAGCTTTTGGAGAGACTTAGGTGATGATATTCTAAGGCCAAACCCCGATGCGCTGACCGGCACCTGTCCACACGGCATGCCAGAAACAAGCGAAGTCCCATCCGTGGCATGCAAGCATCCCGCAAAACCACACCCTTTCTGGTCCACGGAAAAACCTCTCCACGGAACCGGTGCCTGGTGCTCAAAAATTTGTGTGTGGGGGGGCACTGTTCTAAGGGGGGTTAAGAGGAACTTGTTATTTCCTCTCCTGGGTATTATACTCAAAGGGTGTACCGTATTTTTCGGACTATAAGATGCACCGGAGTATAAGACACACCAAGATTTCGAAGAGGTAAAGAAGAAAAAAAAAGTTTTTGCCCTCCCCGGGCCCCAGGAGCACTCTGCAGGCCTCCCAAACCCATTTTTGCGAAAAATGGGGCTGTTTTTGCCCTCCCAAACACCCCACGCATCGTTTTTTTGCCCTCCCCAGCCCCCCCCCCGGAACACTGCAGGCCTCCCAAGCCCTCCTGCAGGCCCCATTTTTGGGGAAAATGGGCCTGTTTTTGGCAAAAACGGGCCACGCGGGGCAGGGTTTCGGGAGGCTCAACATGGCTGTATTTGGTGTATAAGACGCACCAACCTTTCCACCCTCTTCTGGGGAGGGGGAAGTGTGCCTTATACTCTGAAAAGTACGGTATATCCTAGGAGACCCCCTCCTCCTAGACATTTTAATTTTTTGCTTAGCTTCTTCCCTCCTGAAGTTTGTTAAGGCCTTGCAAGAAGGAACAGGTAGTCCTCGAATTACGACCACGGCTGAGCCCAAACTTTCTGTCGCTCAGCAAAACAAATCAATAAAAGAGTTTTGCCCCGTTTTACAAGCTTTTCTTGTTGTTAAGTGGATCACTGCAGTGGTTAAGTTAGTAGCCCAGTTGTTCAGGGAATATGGCTTCCCCCACTGACTTACGCTTGTCTCAGAAGGTCGCAGAAGTCGGTCACATGACCCCAGGACACGGCAGCCGTCATAAATATGAGTCAGTTGCCAAGCGTCTGAATTTTAGATCAGAGATCTAAAATTAAGACCACAGAGGCCATGACTGAAATGGTCATGAGAAAAATGGTCCCTTTTTTTTAATTGCCGTCGTAACTTTGAATGTTCACTAAACAAACTGTTGTAAGTAGAGCAGTATCTGCATTTGTAAAAAAAAAAATAGCTTTTTTTTTTTACATTCGTATATTGCCCAGCTCTACTTTCAACCTGAAAATTTGCCTTTATATAATAGTCGAAACTGTAACACTTTTTAAGTGTTCATATTGTTATCATCAATCTCTGATAAACTATAGTCTTAGCCAAAATAAATAAGTCATCTCACTTCCTTAAGCCGCTGGTATTTTCCCGGGGATAAAGATCAGTTTCCAGTGTTTTGCATATAACAGTCTTGAGACTTAACGCTCCTTAAACTATATAAAGAGATATAAAGGGAAGCCTTTTTTTTTTTTTTTTAAACTTAGTACAAGAAGTTTGGAAATTGAACATTTCACTGATTTGGCTACTTCTTTCCTTAATGTCTACAACAAAAACCAAAATTTAAGATCATCTTGGATGGGCAGCTTGCATAGAATCAAAACTTCGCATTAGTACGTTACAGGTAGTCTTCGACTTACGACCACAGTTGAGCCCAAAATTTCCACGGCTAAGTGAGAGACGGTTTTTAAATGAGTTTTGCCCCCTTTTACCAACCTTTCTGGCTGCAGTTGTTAAGTGAATTACTGCAGTTGTTAAGTGAGCAACATGGTTGTTGAGCGAATCTGGACACTTCTTGTCACAAAAGTGATCACATGACCCAGGGACACTGCAAGGGTCATAACTAGAAGAGCCTTGGTAGTACAGTGGTCTAAGGCACCCTGTTATTAAGCTGGTTATTAAGACCAGCTGCCTGCAATTACTGCAGGTTCGAATCTCGCCAAGGCTCAAGGTTGACTCAGCCTTCCATCCTTTCTAAGGTAGGTAAATTGAGGACCCAATTTGTGGGGGCAATAAGCTGACTTTGTATAAATATACAAAAGGATGAAGGCTATTGCTGAGCACATTGTAAGCTGCCCTGAGTCTTCGGAGAAGGGCGGCATATAAATCAAATTAAAAAAAGAACAAAACAAAACTATGAGTCAGTTGCCACACGGCTGAATTTTGATCACGTGACCTTGGGGATGCTGCAGCGGTCGTAAGTGTGAATAATGGTCTTAAGTCACTTTTTTCCAGTGCTGTTGTAACTTCGAACAGTCACTGAATAAACTGTTGTAAGTCGAGAATCGCCTGTATGAACCCGAAATTATTTCCACAGTGCTTGGGGCATTTTTACTGCCATTCTGAAAGACAAATATCCTTAGAAACTAGCCAAGTATAAGTAGTAAATGTCATGGGGGAGAGGACAAAGGTATTATTCATATTTCTACGCTGCCCACTCTCCGAGGACTCTGGGCGGCTTACACCAAAGACAGTATACTAAATAGCATATTGCCCCCAACAATCTGGGTCCTTTCCATTATTAGCAATGACACTGACCTCCTCCAATGTGCTATTGCATTAAATATCCTTTTTCCCAAGAAGGCTTTAACCATATTAAAATACACGGTTTTGGACGACTAAAAAGTTTAATGGGAAGTTCTTGACACAGGTACCCTGTTTCCCCCAAAATAAGACATTCCCCTGATAATAAACCCAATTGGGCTTTTGAGTGCATGGCAATAAGGCCAAGCGCTTATTTCAGGGTTAAAAAAAATATAAGACAGGGTCTTATTTTCGAGGAAACACGGTAGCAGTCTTAACATCTGTGGGAAAACACTGATCCGTGAGAGGGTTTGAAGCCTTCATCTTATTTATTTATTTATTTAGAAACCACCACAGTCCTCGTGACACGATCGAATTAAGCCAAGCCGTCCATTTCTGAGGCTAGAGGTGGCGTGCTGTTTTTTTTGGCATGCTTTTAAAAAAGTTTTCATCTCACACCTGTCTCTGTGGAGACTTAAGATGGGCGTTGCGTCATCTGGGTCTCTTGACAAAGAGGTTTCTTGTGAGTTGTCAGCCCTACAGTGCAAAGGTGGCCACTGATACGCTGGGGACCTTGTAGATTCCCCCGTTACGTGTCTTTGTTGAAAGCTTCCTGATGGATGACCTCAAGCAAAGGCAGCCCGATGACACAACTATTGTTGTCGTTCCCTCCACACTTATAGTACAACTATTGTTGTCGTTCCCTCCACACTATATTTCGGTGTGTATGGAAGAAATAGTGGGGACAAGATGGCTGTAGAGGTAGCCCTAGACTTACGACCACAATGGAGCCCAACATTTTTGTTGCTAAGTAAAAACCTTCGTTAATTTCTCCCCAGTTTACAACCATTCTTGCCACTGTTGTTAAGTGAATCACTCCGGTTGTTAAGGAAGCAACACGGTTGTTAAGCGAATCTGCTTTCCCCGTTGACTCTGCTTGTCAGGAGGCCGCAAAAGAGACCTTGAGGGACGCTGCAACCGTCATAAATACAAATCGGTTGCCGAGAGTCCAAATTTTGATCCACGTGACCATGGGGATATACTGGTCGTAAGTCCCTGTTGTAAGTCGAGGGCTACCTGTATTCTAGAATTCCTGGCTAGGTAGATATTAATTCCAACATATCAGAAGGAAGGCCCCAAGTTGGCCAGAGTCTTACATGGAAACAGAACAGTAAGTCACACTGGGAAAGAGAGGAGAGAAAGGAGCCTTGGTAGTACAGTGGTCTAAAGCACCCTGTTATTAACACAGCTGCCTGCAATTACTGCAGGTTTGAATCTTACCAGGCTCAAGGTTGACTCAGCCTTCCATCCTTTCTAAGGTAGATTAAATGAGGACCCAGTTTGTGGGGGCAATAAGCTGACTTTGTATAATATTACAAAAGTATGAAGGCTATTGCTTAACGCATTGTAAGACGCCCTGAGTCTCCGGAGAAGGGCGGCATATAAATCAAATAAAAAAAGAAAAAAAAGAAAGAACAAGAAGGTGGGGGAGGTATGAGCAGAAGAGACTTGGGAGTGAGTTGAAATGTGGAGGCGGAGAGTTTTGAAGAGAAAAATGGTCTTAGGGCTGTGATGGCGAACCTTTGGCATGCGTGCCAGAGGTGGCACGCAGACCCTCTCTGCTGGCATGCGTACCGTTGCCCCAGGACAGATCTCCATGGGGTGTCTTTCGTGAGCAAAACAAACAACGAAACAGAAGCTCACGAAAGTAAAAGATCTTACCTCTGCCATGCTGCCGGTGTTGGGATGCCCCGCCTTCCACCAGCCAGCTGGTCTTCGGGTCTCTGCTGCATACGCATGTGCACACCTTGCAGTTCGGGCATGCACAGTTTGGGCACTCGGTGTCTGAAAGGTTCGCCATCGCTGTCCTAGGGAAAGAGGAAGCAGAGGCTGCATTAACCGAGGGATAGAATTCAGGTCATGTGAAATGTTGGTGTCTATTTATAATCCCTTAAATAAGGCCAAACTTGGAATATTGCACCCAGTTTTGGTGGTTTCCAGATGAAAAAGATGTGGAGACTCTAGAAAAAAAAAAAAGTGTAGAGAAGAGCAACAAAGATCATTAGGAAACTGGAGGCTAAAACATAGGACAGTTGCAGGAATTGGGTATGGCTGGCTTAATGAAAAGAAGGACTAGGAGTGATGGCAATGTTTCGATATCTCAGGGGTGCCACAAAGAAGAGGGAATCAAGCTATTCTCCAAAGCACCTGAGGACAAGACAACAAGCAACGCATGGAAACCAATCAAGGAGAGAAGCAACCTAGAACTAAGGAGAAAATTTCCTGACATTTAGAACAATGTATTAGTGAAACGACTTGCCTCCCAGAATGCATCACTGGACTTTAAGCAGAGACTAGACAACCACTTGGTATAGGATCTCCTGCTTAGGGGGTTGGACTAGAAGACCTCCAAAGTCCCTTTCAACTCTGTTATTAGGTGCATGCAAGCCCACCAGCCCTACTATCCATTCAGGTCTCTGTTGGGAGAGGGGGGGGATTCAACATTACGGTGATTTCCAGAACTTCTTTCCAACGGGATTGATAACCAGAGCAAGCAACGCCATCTCTGCTGCCTGCATTCCCTCATCCTTCCCCCCCGCCCCGCCCCCCTCCCCATTCACTTTTTTGGTGCAAGCCGTGTGTCCTATTGACCTGCTCTTCTCCCCCCCCCACCCCCATTCCAGCTTCTTTTTCCCATGGCTGCAGTTGCTTTCTTGCTGAGTGTTGGGGTCTTCCCAGGTGCCTGGTAACATGTCTGGCTGTAGGTAACTTCTTCTCTCTTCTTTCTTTCTCTCTTTCCCTTTTCTCCTTGCGTGTGCGTGCGTGTGTCTCGTGTTGTGTGTATGTGTGTGTTGCTAACAGGGCGGATTCAGGTCTCTCCAGGTAATCCCATTTTCTATAATCCTACTCTGGTTGGGAGTGGGAGGGTCATCCCGTCCCCGCCCCTAAGTGTGAGTGGAAGTACCTTCACGCCCCCTTTGTGCTGTAATTGTAGTTTGCGGTGGTGTTAAAACAGCTGTAATTTAGACCAGGGGTCTCCAACTTTGGCAACTTTAAGACTTGTGGACTTCAACTCCCAGAGTTCCTCAGCCAGCTGGCTGAGGAACTCTGGGAGTTGAAGTCCACAAGTCTTAAAGTTGCCAAAGTTGGAGACCCCTAATTTAGACGGTAGGGATCATGAGATCTTGGAAGATGATGGTGGGATGGGGTTTTTTTTTTTTGTTTTGTTTTACCCAATCCCATGTTGCACAAACTTCTGGAGAAGTGGGATGGGCCGCTGAATTCCTGTGATTCCTAACGGCCTTCCTTTGCTTTCCACGATCGTGTCTGACTTCTCCGTATGCATCCTCTCCCTCTTTCCCGCCCCCCTCCCCAAATGCGTTTGGTCTTTCACTCTTCTTTTTTTTTTTTCCTTCCTCCCTCTTCTCCTCCTCCTACCCTTAAGTGTTGCATCACAGCGGTTTTTCCCTTTCCCATCTCCTCAAATCGTAGAGATGATCACTCCGCAGAGTAACCCATGCTAACCCAGAATTCTCGAAACTTTTATTTTATTTTATCACATTTTGGGACCGCCCATCGCAATCCCCACCAGAGGAACTCCGGGCGTGTACCATTAAAATACTAAGATGAAAAAAAGTATATAGAGCGGTTAAAATTTAAAAAAATGCAAGGGTGATAAAAAGCAATGTTAAAAATTAATTCAAAAGGGAAAGGATGGTCTTTCAGGGCAACAGGTTAAAGAAAACTACTGTTATGTCCCAGGGCATTTAATGTCAGCGTGCCCCTACATTTCTCGAGTGTTAGTTTCCTAGGGTTTCTAATATCCTAGCATTGCCAAACTTCCATTAAATATATCTTGTAATTTTCTGATCCTTTGTTTGGTGATGGGGGGGAAGGAGCAAATAATTCTATCTTTATAGGATAGAAAGTTTCCAGGGTTTCTAATATCCTAGCATTGGCAAACTTCCATTAAAATATAACTTGTAATTTTCTGGTCCTTTGTTTGGTGATGGGGGGAAGGAGCAAATAATTCTATCTTTATAGGATAGGAACATTGGCATTAATTTAATTTATTTATCACATTTCTATGCCGCCCAACTCCCAAGGGACTCTAGGCGGCTTACAGCAAAAATAATGCAAACAATGAATATAGAAAAATTAACATGACAGGTAGTCCTTGAGCTACGACCACCACTGAGCTCACCGTTCCTGTTGCTAAGCAAGACCGTTGTTAAGTGAACTTTGGCCCATTTTACCACCTTTCCCGCCACTGTTTTAGTGAATCATTGCACTTGTTAGTCACGTGGCTGTTAAATGAATCCGGCTTCCCCATGGACATCGCTTGTTAGAAGGTCGCGAAAAGATGGATCACGTGACCACCCCCTGCCCCCCCCTCCCCTCCCCTCCTGGGGACACTGCAACCATTATAAATATGAGTCAGCGGCTAAGCATCTGAATTTTTGATCAGGTGATCATGGGGGTGCCGCAACGGTTGTAAGTGTGAGAAACGGTCGTAAGTCATTTTTTTCCCAGTGCCGCTGTAACTTTGAATGGTTGCAAGTTGAACCATGCAACGGTTGACTGACCAAATGAAGTGGAGGAGTACCTTGTATGCATTTTCACCATGTGTCCATGGTAATCTGGTTTATATTACAGCAGGGGTCTCCAACCTTGGCAATTTTAAGACTTGTGGACTTCAACTCCCAGAATTCCTCAGCCAGCCCAGTATAGAGAGTCCACAGAGAGGAAGCCAAGGGTTAAACTGAGCTAATTTTTCCTCTTTCCCTTGTCTTTCCCTGCCTCTTATTCACAACTGCGTCAACAAAGGGTTTGTCTTGGGGGCCCATTGTCTTTCTCTCTGAAGACTTGGGCAAAGCAGAGCCCTGATGGCCTTTGATTCAAGTTCCATCCTTCGTTCCATCCTTCTCGGTTCTGAACAAGCTTCCATTCATTCAGGAGCGAGTTGGTACACCCTGAAATTCCGCCAAGCTCCCAGCGGTGGCTGTTCTTGTACAGGTAGTCTCGACTTACAACAGCTCATTTCATGACGGTTTGAAGTTATTACAACAGTACTAGGAAAATACAAAGCGACGTACGGCCATTTTTCGCACTTAACGACCGTTTGCAGCATTTCCCCCCCCCCAAACTCGGTGTGATTTACATTCCGATGCTTTGACCGCTTGACTCACAAGGATGATGGTTGCAGTGTCCCCTTTTGCGACAAGCAAAGTCAACAGAGAAACCAGATCCATTGGACAACCCGTGTGACTTAACTACTGCGTGGTGCTTCGCTTGACTGAGAAAAGTCGTAAAAATGGGGCGAAACCAACACACTTCTCGCTTAACAACATTGGGTCGATTGTGGTCGTAAGTTGAGGGCTACCTGTATTTCAACCCGGGGCAGATTCCTGCCACACGCAGTCTCAGGAGACTTTAACGGTGGGGCTAGCTAGTGTAGGGGAAGCAGCTGGGATTCCTCAGGCCTGGCCTTACTAACTAAGCACGTCCCTCTCTCCTTTCTCTCTTGAAGCATTTCTACCAGAGCAGGGCCCAGCCACCGACCAGTGCTTCCCGGGTGCAGAGTAACACGTCGGCTCGGCCTGGCCCACCCACTCATGTTTATCCAGCTGCTTCCCAGGTCATGATGATCCCTTCACAGATCTCCTATCCTGCTTCGCAAGGTGCCTACTACATCCCTGGACAGGTGAGGGTTAGACCGGGGCTGCGGCCTTCTTCATTGTGGAGCGGCGGAGAGCTTGCGGTGCTTTCCCAAGCGATCTGCGTCTCCCGGAACTGGTGTGTAGCTCGCCTTCCCTCTGGGGTTGGTGTAAGAAGGTGGAGAGGGGTAAGTTTCTGGTCTGCCCTCCCTCCTGCCTGTCGACAGATAGCATCCCGGTCATGGCTCCAGCTGCCTGTAACACTACAGCCTTCCACCAATGGGGAAGGCAGGAATGTGGTGCTGGCCTCGGTCAGAGACCGCAGAAAAGTATTTGGGACGAGGAAGTAAGAGCGGAGATTGGGTTTACCTGATGCGATTTGACTCCCTACTTAAACTGAGCTGCTTGTACAACCCAGCCGATTATTTTATTTTGCGGGATTTAACAGCTCTCGCCCTGAGTCCGTAGCAAAGGACGGCTCCTCTGACCTCCCTTTTCTTATCTGTCCCGAGCCAGTCGGAACAAAAATACGCATTTTGCACCTTTTTTAGGAAATGAGCTTGGCTTGATTTCCTTGATACCTTGTCCAGGACTGAGGAATGGCCACCTAAGGAAGCCTGATGTGAACTCTTGCAAACCTACCGTCTGATCTCAATAGTTCACACGTGAAAATGTTTCTTGATTGCTCTTGAAGGTCAAGACGTAACGTGGATTCTCTCTCTCTCTTATCTCCCAAGATTCTGTCCCAGGCTATTTAACTGGAGCCAGTTCCTGTGGTTCAGTCCCTTAATAAATAGGAGTGACATCCAGTGGTGGGATTCAGCCAGTTCGCACCTATTCGCGAGAACCGGCTGTTAACTTTCTAAGCAGTTCGGAGAACCGGTTGTTGGAAGAGATCTTATTTTGTTTTTTTCCCACTTTACAGGGCTAATCCTGTAAGGAAGGCAGGAAGGAAACATTCTGGTGTTATTTCTAACCTAATCTTTATTGCCTTGCTTACAGAAACTGCCTCTCTGGTTAACCCTTATTACATTGTAACAGCTAAGGCGAAGCGCCAGTCGACATGAGTGATGTTGAGTTGGCCATACCCACACGGTCACATGACCACCAAGCCACGCCTACCCAGCTGGTCATTAGGGCAGAGAACCGGTTGTTAAATTATTTGAATCCCACTACTGGTGTCATCTAAAAAACTTCTGATGTTTTTAACCATACAGGTTCTGTAAATGGAAAGCATAATTTTAGAAAATGGAGGCCTACTAGATATAAAAGGGAAAGGGAAATACCCCACAGGTGATGCCTTCTGCAGTTTCACATGAAACACATTGTGTGGGTTCGGGATTAACTTGATATGGATAATACATATACTTCAGCCCATGTGAAATTATAATGAAATCTTGCTCTGCTCCCTCAGCTCCATCCTGAGCTCTTCCCTTGCAAGGTCATCCGGTTTCCTCTCCTGCTATTCTTTGCCTCTTCCAAACTCTTAATTTAGGCCACATTATCCCATAGTTATGAGGGCCTCACCCTAAGCATCCAAGAGGTGTGTCTAGCAGGTCGAATGTTACGCTGTTGGAGACGCGCAGGAGAACCTCATATTGCCTTGTGAGATACGCTACAAGAGGCAGAGAGTCTCAGCTATGAGAGCATTTCCTTTCAGAGAAAAAGGGATTGCAAAATGATGCTTAAATCGCAGGTTCGTTACCTTTTGTCCCTATGGGCTCCCTGCAAAAGGAGGAGAGTGGAATATCTACGGAGATTCTCAGTCCTCCAGATCATGGTTGTCCCAAAGGTGCTTTTTTTCAAGAGGCAGCTGGACTTTCTGGTTTTTCTTTTGAAGACGTTTCGCTTCTCACCCAAGAAGCTTCCTCAGCTCTTGACTGGATGGTAGGAATTTATACTCCTTGCAGGCAGCTGGTCATTTGCAGGAGGACAAACCCATCAGGAGTAGATTCAGGCGTCCATCTGCTTTTAAAAAGACAAAAGACCACTTTTTTGAAGGCAATGAAATCCACATTTTTGGACAGGACTGCTGGCTTGAAAGCGGGGGATTCAAAAAGAGGCCATCTATTTCGAAATTGAACAGCCCTCTCTCAACGGAGGGGGAGGGATAGACATAATCTATCTCCAGTCTACAACACAGTCCTTTCAACAGATCTAAGAAGGCCTCATTTGCACCGCTCAGGTGACCCTGAGGACACAGATAAATCTCCAAGTGGCCTCAAGGACTCTCTAAAAGGATGCAAATGACCAACTGTCTGCAAGGAGTATAAATCCTTCCGTTCCTCACCATCTGGTCAGAGCTGAAGAAGCTTCTTGGATGAGAATCGAAAGGTCATCTCATTTAGTCCACCAGAGTAGACTAGACTGATCTTCACGACGGGCTTTCATATCGAAGGTGTTGATTGCTGGTGCCAATGATACTCTCAAGCCAGTGGTTACATTTATAATTACTAGGATGTCATCAGCGACGGGTGGGGCTCACTGAGACTTGTAGGGCAGAGGCGAGGGAAGGGAAGACAGATCTGGAGTTGGGGGGCAGGGGGAGAATTTAGAAAGGAAGGCAGAACCATCTCAGCAAACAGCCATTGGAACATTCAAACCAGACAAGGGGCGAGTAAACAAATTGGCTCTACATGAATTAAAAAAAAAACAAAAAAAGTTTAAGGTTGGGAGAATCATTTCTTAAGCTTGTAAGGATTTACTCTATCTTTGGATGCCGCAATTTGAGGACCATCTCCCCTGTAAAGTAGGGAGAGGAAGGATCAGCGTACAAAATATACATCTCTGTTTAGTTCTTCTGGGTTGCTGGATCTAGTGCAAGGGTCTCCAACTTTGGCAACGTTAAGCCTGGAGGACTTCAACTCCCAGAATTCCCCAGCCAGCCTTGCTGGCTGGGGAATTCTGGGAGTTGAAGTCCTCCAGGCTTAACGTTGCCAAAGTTGGAGAACTCTGATCTAGTGAACTTCTGTGGGCTGCTTCCCTAATTTCAGTGTTGCCTGCTTTGTTGTCGTCTGAAGGCAGTCTTGAAGGTTCACCTGCTCCATTTCTCCTCTTCTCCTAGGGTCGCAACACATACGTTGTTCCGACGCAGCAGTATCCTGTTCAACCTGGTGCCCCCAGCTTTTACCCCGGAGCCAGCCCTACAGAATTTGGCACTTTTGGTAAGTGCACAAACGCATGCCTGCCAGATGCCACTTGGGTTTCACCCCTAAGATGGCCAACCTCTCCAGTGGGGGGTGGAAGGTGAAGGTAATCCTCGACTTAACAACCACAATTGAGCCCGCAGATTTCTGTCGCTCAGTGAGTTTTGCCCAATCTTACGATCTTTCTTTCCACGGTTGGTAAGCGAATCATTGTAGTTCTTAAGCTAGTGCAGGGGTCAGCAACCTGCGGCTCTGGAGCCGCATGTGGCTCTTTCACCCCTCTGCTGCGGCTCCCTGTCACTCAAAATATGCGTCACAACCGCCAGTGTGTGACACCCCCGGCGCACGATTTATTGAGCCCCTGGTAGGCCAACCATGGATAAATCCAAGAAAAGAAAATTTTCAGAAGAAAACAGAACATTTAATTCCATTACATATACTAGTTTTGTGGCCGCTCAAGAAATAGTCAGGCACGGAAAGAGTTTTGTGACTCCTGGTGTTTTCTTTTCTTTGGGAAAAGGGTCCAAATGGCTCTTTGAGTGTTTAAGGTTGCAGAACCCTGAGCTAGTGGCACGGCTGTTAAGTGTATCTGGCTTCCCCACTGACTTTGCTTGTCAGAAGGGGATCACGTGACCCTGGGATTCTGCCACCGTCATAAATATGAGTCAGCCCCCAAGTGGCTGAATTTTGATCATCTGACCCTGGGAATGCTGAGCAGTGGTAACTCTGAAAAGCAGTCCTAAGACACTTTTTTCAGTGCTGTTGTATCTTCACGGTCACTCAACAAGCGGTTTTAAGTCGAGAACTTCCTGCCTATGGAAATTTATCTGGATCAGAGGCAGAATTTGAGAAACGTTAATGAAACATCGAGTGGGGAGTTCTTGGCCTACTAATGAAATTAGCTGCTTCAAATATGGCTTCTGTTCGGTCCTTCTGTAATTCTCACTTTTCAAGGTCCATCTCCGGTTTGTTTTCGCCTTTGCAATATTATCCTTGAATATAGGGGGTTTGCTCTGATAAGGTATGAGTATTGATTTATTTTGTTCTCGGTGAAACGATTAAGGCTAATACTTGGGAAGATATACAGAGATCATGGCCAGAAAAACCTGGGGTGGTCAGAGGAAAATTTCTTGGTAGGAGAAAAGATTGGCTTGATTGAGTCCTTGAAGAAAAAAATAAAAGTTGAGATTCCGTTATGAGGGGCCTGCGGATAAGGAATCCTAGATAAGGAATTCCTTCTCAACAAACCTGATACTCTGGAATTTTAAAAAGCTCATCAAAAATGGCCTTTCTCATCGGATTTGATGTCTGGATACCATAAGTAGTGGTTAATTTTTGCCTTTTTCTGGAGTGGCTCCCCCCCCCCCCAGTTTTACATTTTAGCCAAACATCCTGTATCATGGTCCTCGACCTATGACCACAATTGAGCCCAAAATTTCTGTTGCTGAGCGAGATGGTTGTTAAGTGAGTTTTGCCCCATTTTCTTTCTTGCCATGGTCGTTCCAGTGAATCACTGACGTTGGTAAGTTAGCAACATAGTTGTTAAGTGAGCCTGGCTTCACCCGCTAACTTTGCTTGTTAGAAGGTCACAAAAAGTGATCACACACAACCCCCGGGACATTACAACTTATCAGTAATATGAAATATTGTATATGCACAATACTGCAAAAATCTAGAAACCCTTACGGATGATATTATAACCAAAAACAATTCTGGAATGTGCAGAAATGGATAGGTTAACCCTAAAAATCAAAGGAAAAGAAGACTCAGAATATTTTATAACATGGGAACTTTTCTACAAATTGTTAAATGACAGATACTGTCTTTTTTTTTATTTATTTATTTTAATTGATTTTAAATGGGATTTTAAATTAGGGGTTTTATAAATTGGGCCTATTATTTAATAATTTTAATTATTTTTAAATTTTGTCTGTCTTTGTGTTTTTAATTAGGCTGTACACCGCCCTGAGTCCTTCGGGAGAAGGGTGGTATAGAAATAAAATTAATAAATAATAATAAATAAATAAATAGATACTGAGGTTAGAGGAATAGATTTATGTGAAATATAGACTACGCGAGAAAGAAAAACTGACGAGTAAATATTTTGATGGTTCTATAAATCGATACTATAATGGAAGATATACTCTTCAATAATGATTGATATTGCATATACTGTATGTTTATATATATATATATATGATTATAATGATTATGATGATGTTTATATGTTAACACTTTGGATACCTAGAAAATTCACTGTTCAACATAGAAATGGAATATGTGATATAAAACAATAAAAAATATTTAGTACAAGAAATGAGTCAGTCACCAAGCGTCTGAATTTTGATCACGACCATGGGGAAGCTGCAACGGTTGTGAGAAAAACGATCATAAGTTTCTTTTTGCTGTAGTAACTTCGGGACTCGGTATTCATCATTAATTGTTTCCTGGAGGCAGAATGAGTACCAGTTTCCTCCCCTCAAGTGAGTCACAAGGCAGTTGACAATGATAGATTTTAGCTTGTGTGTCGAGTACCAAACAAATGATGAATAGCGGGACACAATTTTTGCATCAAACTGTGTTGATTTATTGTCGCAAAGTGACAATAAAGATGTTCTGTGTTCTATCTCTCTTTAATACCAAATTCGATGAGTTTCAAAGCAGTTGAGTACCAAGGTACCTCTGTATACTTTAACTTGCAAAGAAATAAGATTTTATTCTATTTCCTGGAGGCGATGGCAAATGTAAGGGCTGAGAAAAACATTCTGGGAGAAAGATGGAAATATATAACTGTTCTATGGCACTCATGCCACAAGTGGCACACGTAGCCATATCAGTGGGCACGCCAGCCCAGCTCTTTTCGGGCCTTCTGGGCCCACCAGAAGTAGAGAAACAGGCTATTTCCTGCCTCCGGAGGGCCTGGGGGAGGTGGAGAAGGCCCGTTTTTCTTTCTCACCTGGCTCCAGATCCTCTCTATGCATCTGGGGAGGGCGAAAACAGCCTTCCCCACCCCCTCGGAGGCCCGAAAAGGCAGGAAGTGATGTTTTTTTGCTGTCCCCAGCCTCCAGAGACTCCTAGAGAGGCTGTGCAACTGGAAGTTGGGAAATGGGCCTTTTCGGGCCTCTAGAGGGCCTCCGAGGGGGGTGGGGAAGGCTGTTTTCACCCTCCCCAGATGCATAGAGGGGATCTGGAGCCAGGCGAGAAAGAAAAACGGGCCTATCGGGCCATCGCGTGCCAGGAACGGGGGGGAGGGGGGTTGTGCGCGCATGTGAGGGGCATGGCGCATAGAATTATGGGTGCGGGCACACGTGTGCGCGAACCTCCCCCGCCTCCCCCTTAGCTGGCACACGATGGCAAAAAGGTTAGCCATCACTGTTCTAGGCTGAACAAGTGCTGAGTTTGAATCCTGCTTTTGAGAATATTGGGAATGTAAACCCCCCCCCCCCCCCGGGCTCCTTTCCTTCATTTTGAATCCAGCACCGTAAAAATAGAATAGCGGTGCATGCTGATCACTTACAGGTAGTCCTTGACTTACAATCGTTCGTTTAGCGACCATTCAAAGTCACGATGGCGCTAAAAAGTGACTTTCGACCACATTGATGACCCTTGCAGCATCCCCATGTCACGTGATCAAAATTTCGACCCGTGACAACTGGCATGTATTTATGATGGTTGCCATGTCCCGGGAATCACGTGATCCCCTTTTGCGACCTTCCGTCAAGCAAAGCCAACGGGGAAGCCATTGAACAACGGGGTTGCTAACTTTACAGCTGCAGCTGATTCACTTAACAACAGCGGCAAGCAAGGTCGTAAAATGGGGCAAAGCTCACTAAACAGCTACCTCACATTTTGGGCTCAATTGTGGTCGTAAGTTGAGGACTACCTGTAGTCAACCTCCCAATGGAATTGATCAAGGGAATTATTTCTTTTTTTAAATTTAAATTTGTATAGCCGACAGTGGCTGGAATCAGTAAGCAGATAGAAATATACCGTTGTTTTTTTTTCAAAAAAGTTTTTTGTTTTTATTTCTCATAAACACATTTACATGTACAGTCATTTCCATCATTTTTCATTCATCTTTTCTTTTAACTTTCATTTTTCATTTTTACTTTTTGGGGGCTGCCCTTTTACCCTTTACCTTTACTCCAACCTTTCTTCTTCTCCTCCCCTTCTCTTCCTTCCTCTTTCTCCTCCTACTTCCTTCGTTCTTCCTCTCCTTCTCTTTCCAACTTCCCTTTCTCTTCCCCCACTCCTCTCTTCTTCCCCCCTTCTAACCTTCTCCTCTGCTCCTCTTTCCCCTCCCTTTTCTTCCTCTCCTTTTCCCTTTCTTCTTTCTCCTCTCCTCTCTTCTCCCTTCCTCTCTCTCTACTCCTTCCCCTCTCTCCTGTTGTTTCCCTTTTCAGTTCAATCTAAAGTGGTATTCGAGCAGCCCCGATTTCCTAATTATCTTTATTCTCGTTTCAATTCCTTATTCAATTATTGTTTATTTTTATTTCATCATTTGCGTACATTTTTATAATATCTCACTTTTTTCTCTTTTACACCCCCCCCTTCCCCTTCCTTTTACTTGACGTCATCTGGGTATCTATTTTTCTAATTGTTAAAAAAAAGAAGAAGAAATATACCTTTTGCAATTCTGCCCTTGTCTCCCCCCCCCACTCCCCCCCCCCCCCCCCAAAATCGGGAAATTTTCTTTTCATCAGGGAACAAAAGTTGTACTAAGGAAGGAAAAAGAGGTTAGGAGGGAAAGGGAAAGTATTTTCAACTAGGGAACATGAAGGAAGGAAGATTTGAGTGTTTGCTGAGCTGGCCAATGTGTCAACCTGTGCTTAATCTACCAAACCGAAGGTGAGTCATGTGGCTGAATATGCCCATCATGGAAATGTGGCATGTACCTGCATCATGGAAAATTGACTTGCAGCTTAATATTTATTCAATTATTATTTTATTCAATTTGTATCCCGCCCTTCTCCTAGTGGACTCAGGGCGGTACACAGCCAGAACTAAAACACACACCA